GACTTCATTATTGGGCTCTTGTTTTCTAAAGAACGTCGGGGGAAATGGTGCTATTGGTAGGGCCCCCACTTGATGTTGTTCGCACCTATTTAGCGCTTCATCTCTAGCTTTTTTGCGGAGTCTATCTTGAAGTTCATGTAAACCACATGCGGCCCTACGCAAGGTTATCTTAGAAATGGCTTCAGATGGTGAGAAACTCGGCCCCAATTCTAATAACGAGCGCGCACCGTCAGGGAGAGTTATGCCTCCTAACACGGTTAGCCTTGAATTTTCTTGCACATTACCTATCCTAATGTGATCTGTTTGATGTTCTTTAGCGATATTTTTGTGCGCTATTGAAGCTGTTTTATGTGATTTACTCAAAAGGTCTTTGAATTTTCTTCGCAAAGCTACTTTAGCATTAGACCTAATAGAGTTGCAAATCAACACTGACCCGCTCACTATTCTCCTCCAGAGGTGGTCCTCCAAATATTTAGCACAAAAGTTTTCCTTCGTCTCGCACTTCTTCCACTTGGCAAACATCTGGTTTTGTCGGCTTCGTAGACAAGTGCGTAGTATTCGCAATTCGACGTCCAATACTTGGTGAACGTAAAAATGCAAAGGGAGGACATGTGGGACACCTTCTTTCGTGAGGTCGAGAAGCGTATATTCGCTCAATTATTTACAAAATATGACACAACATATTGTGTAAATTCTTGTGGTTACTTTATCCGAAACATTTCCTCGCATGCTTCATATAAGATCGTTGGATTTGTGTCGCTTCGAGTGTCGCAACTTTGACGCTTTTGTTTATAGAAACGTCGCCGTATGCCGGTCAATTGGATTCCCACTGGGATCTTGCAATGGCTACGTTTGAGGTTTCCTAGACTTTCACAGGCGTCAGCTTTTGTGGATCGGAGGGATTCCTTTCTAGAGAAATCTGGTACCAATATGATCCAAGATTCGAATGGCTCTGTATGGCAAGGAACCAACTAACCTTGCACAAATTATCGTACGGCAACTCTAGTTACTACGCATCCAACGGCTACAAATGTGTCATGATTAAACAAATCTATGTCTTTACTACCAAAGTACTAATCGAATAAAGGGAATAAGCAAACTATTCTTAGATGAGCTGAAAGACAGTTGTTTATTAAACAGCATTTTGCTATGGGATCGATCATAACAGAGTTCTCCCCTGATGCGTCAAAAGCTCACCATTTTTTGACCGTTTGTTCACATAGGACAAAATCCACGAAACAGTCAATCGATAATCGATTGTCTTTAGTGTGGATGTTACAAGCTTTGTTCCATTTGCTATAAAAAACAAGCACCAAATGACTTTGCGGCGATAACGAGCTAATGAATGAGTGAATACACAGCTATACGAACGCATCCCATCCCGCAAATTTATCTTTCGAGAAAAAGAAGTTACTGCTCTATAGGAAAAACAGATAGAAGTAATCAAAAATTTCTGTGCAAAACGCCTAAACTTAACTGTTTAACTCGAAAGGAACAAAAATTATTTGAATTTACGGTGAAGTGAAAACCATCTAGATGTAGTGCTGCGATGAGTGACGGTCATAAGCAACTGCTATTACTGTAAAACCGCTAACCAATGCCGTAGTAACAGTGATGATGAATACTGCATGTCTATTCATAGTATTGGTGAAAAAAAAATCGATGAATAGTCCGGATGCTTAACGGGAATTTCAAAATTCTCCACAAGAAAGATGTAAAAACGTGATATATTTGGAATGTTGCCGGTAGCACCTTACTAAGAACCCCCGAACTAATGAGGTGGCCAGTGAGCAAGCTGCCTAACGTTGAAGTTTGAGATCAAACTATCTACAACTCACGAAATTTGTTCCTTGTTCCTAATGACGGTAGTCGAGAATCTAGGTGAACCTCTTCACCGACTTCTGCAGGTGGAAGCATGTTCTTCGACCGATGTAGTAGTCGTGGTGAACGTGGTGGCATTGTAATCGTAACGAGCTCGTTTGAAACACTTAATTTGACTATTACACCTTTTCTTTTAAAAAGTATCGTCCAATTTTACTTCAATGGGGCTAAAATTCATAATAATCTATGAAGAATGATTTTTTTTTCCAGACCTATTACAGTCGATTTTGAGAGGTTCAGTAAGAAAGGATGTTCTCAAAAAAAGCTGAAAGTAGCGAGAAGGTAAAGCACACATTTTTCTCTCAAAAAACCTATTTTTTCTTAAATATTTTTCTCCTGTTCTTTAAAAAAGATCGTGAACCTACGGTTCTTGTGGTGGTTTGACGGTCCCATCGGGTGTTATTGAGTCCGAACGACAGCTCTCGCCTCCAGTGTTGTAAGCACTGGATGTGTCTGGATTTGGGCACAAAACGCAACCCTAAACAGAAGATACTAATGCTTGTGAAAAATGTTGCAAAATTGTAAACACTGCGTATTAAATATATATATATATGCATATTGTTATTTGAATTATCTGTGTCTCATCCATTCCACTATCTATTAAGCGAAAAACTAAAATGAAAAGCATGTTAGAAAGTGTAGTGATGCTTGTCTGTTGAAACCTCTAAAAACAGTTTCGATCCTAAGGGGAGCATAAATATTGTTTTGAACAGTGCTTATGACCAAATATTTATAACTTTTTATGTGTTAAAAAACCTGAAGTCAACAAGCAGCTGGAAGGAAAGTTTTCTCATGCGTTTACAACGTTATAAACAACGAGGCCAGCTGTTTTCCGATTGGACTTCATACTCTATCTTTACTTTTTTATCTTTCTTTCCTTCTGCACTTTTTCACAATTTTCGTTTTTTTCATCCGTGTAATGTTAGGTTGATGTGCTATGATCAACAAGCTTATCGGAGACAAATTCATAACGTAGAGAAATTCCGAAGCTTCCAGGGTGTTCGCATGTTGGAGTCGAGATTTGGTGAAGTGTGAGGGAACATTCGTACTCACTCACCATTAAGGCGGTTCAGATGATGATGGTGAAACGAGTGGGTGGATGGTTGGATGGATGGATGGATGGATGGATGGATGGATGGATGGATGGATGGATGGATAGATAGATAGATGGATGGATGAATGAATGGATGGATGGATGGATAGATGGATGGATAGATGGATGGATAGTTGTTTTGTTGGTTGGTTGTCTGATCGGCTGCTTGATTGGTAGCTGTAGGTGTTTGAGGTACTAGGGATTGTGATGTGCCCTATCACAATGTCGTGCTTTTGCAACGTTTATGAGCGAGAGAAAAAAAAAGCAAGCAAGGAGAGTGTTTTATGAGCTTATCGAGAACGTAGAAGATCATTTCTCAACCTGCGATTGATGCATGAGATCCACTGACATGAAATACATGATACCGGTGAGTACCAATGATCAATGCCACTAACTACTACCACCAAACCAGATTTTGTCTTCATGAAATTAGTTTTTGAAACCTTAAAATTTCTAGATAGTGAATAATTAGAAGCTGTTAAGGAGAAACAATTTCGTTTTATCGTTCTACTAATTATAACGAACAGCAGATTTCACTTGTCAAGCCAGATTCGCTACGATCTATTCTTTTCATCTTTGTTAAAAACAGACAAACTCTTTTTTCAAGTGCATTAGCAGATGTATTGTGTTTTTCTATGGAAGTAAATGTATGCTTTTTAAAAACCTCGCGATTGCTGAACAAGAAAACGACGCATTCATATTCCAATGCCGAGATTAATAGAAAGTCGATCCTGGGAAGTATTAGCAGAATAGGCTCTGAGGAAGACGAAGACGTCGAAACGTTAGCCGAAAATAAATATCATTATCGATCTCGTGTAAGCTCATCAAAGAAAGAATACATTTTGATTAGTGATACCGAGGTTCAAGGAAAGTCGGTTTCGAAATATTACTACGCTTTGTGCTAGCTAATAATAACACCGACTTCTGCACGATGTGCGCGATGATGTATGTCCGAAAAAACAAGCTGTTATCACCGGACATTATCATTATATCCACCATCAGCATCGTGTATAAAAGCGCATCACTAAGTGAGGATGCCTCATTCGAGGAGATGGCTCACTGAGGAAGACCTGACTCGACAGGTGCCACGAAGGCGAAGCTGCCACGTCGAGACGAATAACAAGCGTGGACCACCGACTCCGGGTCATCGGCTCTGAGGAAGACGAAGACGTCGAAACGTTAGCCGAAAATAAATATATTTATCAACCTCGTGCAAGCTGATCAAGAAAGAATACATATTGATTAGTCACACCGAGGTTTAGAGAAAGTCGGTTTCGAAATATTATTACTACGCTTTGTGCTAGCTGATGAATAACTAGAGTTAGTAATTAAGTAAGTTAGTTGAATGATGGTATTTAGATGTCACAGCGCTTTTGGCGGCGTATCTCCTGCTTGGTGGTTTTCCGTGTGACTTTGGAAAGATAAAATCAATCGTACACTAAATAGCCGCTTTCTAAGTTGAATGCGATTCTGTTCATTTAGTAGCTTAACTATTAACTATGTAGACGTAGTATTCCCTATATGAGCGAACTCAACATGACTGATCAAACACAAATGTTAGGTGTACGTAATAAATGAAATATGTAGCATCTATACTGGTGACGTTATAAGATGGAAATGAGCCGTAGCTATCGTGAATGGGAGATTTCGCAGTTGGAAGTCTTTTGAACTTAGTTCGTTTACTAAGTAAGCGAAATACAGCCACAACGTTGCTGAGATATTTGCAAAACTCTGGACCGCAGGTGTCTCTGCGGTCCAGAGTTTTGCAAATATCTCAGCAACGTTGTGGTTGTATTTCGCTTACTTAGTAACCTGCCATGAAAATTATAGAAGGCAGAAAACAAAACGTTAAACATTAGTTCGTTTAATTAATTAGCGTACAACTAACGAGTGAATCTATCGGGTCCATATTGTGTGTGAAGCGACAAAAAAATGACAAGATATAGGAAAAGGAGAAAAAACGGGAATGAAAATGACAAAGTCCACATATCGCATTTCGGTTTTCCACTCTTTTCGAAGTCCTTTTTAAGAAAGTTTTCTAATTTGGACGAAAATTTCCTATGACTCTTCGTAGGTGACTGGATATTAAAAAACTAATGATTTGATTTTTTGCTCGCTAAATAATACGAGTAACAAACATCACTACGGTTTTAACGTTCGAATTTCGATGATCTCATTACCTCACTGAGTGTTTTTTCCACCAAAAGATGTTTATTGATTAGTCGATCGCATTCGAGTCGAAGTGACGTCATTTCGTTGTGGAGATCCGCAAGCTTTTCCCTAATCGTCTTATCGTTAGACTGTGGTTGTTCCGTGTGGAACGGATTCACGTTCATCTTCGGTAGTGGTTCAACGAAAATACCTTATTTTGAGCCGTAACTGAAAAATTTTCCATTAGAAGTTTCTCATCTTGTGAATGAAAGAGTGGGATCTTTGAAAAAAAAAACTTTACAGCGAAATAAAGCAATTAAATAGAAACTAAAGCAGGAATATCAAAGAATATAAAGGCGCAATAGAATAAATCAATTATTTTACTTCTAATTTTGTAGATGATAGCGCTGGCCGCAGATTGACACGAAGAAAACCTCATCTGTGCAAGTAGTAACTACGGGTACCATAGAAAGTATAGCGAACGACTAGTTTTCGATGAGCTGACTAGCTGGCTCGCGATCAATAGCCATACTTTACGTGAGCGATTTCATTCAGCTGCAAACGGCAGAAGTACTATTACTAGAAGAGAAAATAAACCACTAACGACACAATCGACTATTCTCAATTGTCAATGTGTGAACAGTTGTTGTTGCGTTGTGTGCACTCAATAAAATCAGATAAATGCGAACGAAGCGTACATTCGCTTTTGCCTTGAAGTCACAAAGTCTATAAATCAACAACAGTCGAAACTTTCTAGATCAAGTTTTTTGGCAACTGCAAAAATATTAAAATTATCACGGAAAAAATGTATGGTGTTATCCACCAAAACGTGGCTCATACATGAAGCATATCCTAAAATGTTTCGCTTGTGCGCGAACATGCTTCATCAAATATTCATTTATCTGTGTTTGTGTGCATTATGCCTATTATCGTTACTTCTCACACAAGTGATATTGCAGGGTTGCCGAGGCCGCCTATGAAATGCTAGATTATTTCGTTCATCGATTGTTGATTAAATATCGAAAGACAAGATTCGAATACAAATTAAAGAAAATTTGAAAAGCTCCCTGTTACAGATGTTTCTTCTGACAACACGAATTCTCACAAAAATAGAACCACAATGTTGCTGAGATATTTGGGAAACTCTGGACCACAGGTGTCTAAGGTGGGGAACGAACGCACAATATTGTCCAAATTAGAGGGAAGCAATGTCGGCTACACCAACCAGTTAGAAACTTGCTGACCGTCACATAAACTGAAAGCATATATGTAGTCGCGAAGCAGAGCGATTAAAGAAGTTCTACTTCGAAAATGAGTAGTTGCCGAAAAAGATTGAACATCGAAAACATTGAAAAAGACTGCAACATTGAACAGCATTGAACCCTTGCTGAGTGGTTTTCGTCTGCAATTTTCAGTTCTACTAGAACAAACATCTGTTAAATAATCCTTTTTTTCTCAAAGGCCTACAGTTCTTCAGTGAGTATCATCAAAATAACAAAATCGTCTACTTTTCATGACGTGCTGCTTGTCGACCATAGAATGCGCGCCTTTAAGATCTTTTCGACGAGAGAACTCACAAGACTTTTCTACAACTTTTAACTGTCTGAATCTACTGACAAGGATTACATCAGTAAAAAATAAACAAAAACTTGCAATGATAGTTCAAAAAATTTGCCATCATTAGCATTATAAAGAATACTATTAATCGTTACATTTTAGGTGATTCTCAAGGGTGACGAACAGCGCAAAGGTCAAAATCATTGATGAAGAGTTTGGTGTTTAACTTAGCATCAACGAATCCTATGATTTATCAAGAAATATTGCACAATGTAAAGAGAATGAGGGTTTTGGTGTATTGCAAAAGTATTGAGAACGTTCAGTCATCAGCATCACACAGCCGCTATGAAGAAGCAACAGGCGTCGGTTTGAGCATCCGTCACCCAGAATTAACCATGAGAAGCTCATAAATCAGTCGAAAATTATGCTATGAAAAAAAGAAAGAGTACAGTATGCTCCTCATAGAGATCAAAAGCAACTGCTGGTTTGAAATAAAAGTTACACATCCGCTATAAAGTCGTTCCTCACGCAGAAAAAGTTCCATAACTGAAAAACCACCTACTGCATACTTTAACCTGTAACTTTCACCTATACCCATTTCGAGAATCACTGTTGCTAGAAAAAGAATAAAGGAAATGTTAGGATTAATGCACCATGGATGGAAACCATATGAATAAAAAGTAGCAAAACCGAAAAATGATAATCTAAAACAGAAAGCTGATACGATAACGGTCCTATAACCTCTACAGGAGACGTTTGTTAGGGGAGGCGAAACAGGTACGACCAGTTCAGAAGTCATTTTGTTTTCGGTGGTTTATTTGGGCCTTCAAAACTGCAAAAAAGGTGTTTGGCGTTGATCAATCCGTTAGAGATGCGCCGTGCATTTGACCTCACACGTACCATTTATAGCGCCGCAAGAGCAATATGGAGTATGTTTGACCTATGCAGCGGCTTTCAGAGGCTTTCCAATGTTTGGATCTAGTGTTTCTGCTCTTCCAGACATGTCGGTAACCAAGCTGAAGCGATAGCTGTTTTACAAGGTTCCAAAAAAGTGTCTGGTGTTGGATGATCCTTTAGAGATGCGCCAAGAGATCCTTCAACCCCAAACGTATCATTCGTAGCATCGCATGAGCAACATAAGTTTTATCTATGCAGTGGTTTACAGAGGCTTTCAAATGTGTCAATCTAGTGTTTCTGTTTCTCCGGACATGCTGACTACCAATTAACCACTTCCACATGGACGAGAGTACGGTGAGCCCGAGAAACGTTTGGCAGGAGTTTGAAGCAGAAACTCTGTTGGCCCTATACTTGTTAACTAATGACGAATTCTCGCCATAGTGCATGACGGCATCACCGAAAAACTGGGAATTTTGTTACAAGCCGTTCTAAGGCGCTGGAGTTGTACTTGGTCAATAGTGATGAATTCATAGCACGCCATGAACTACTCGTCATCGTCAAGAAAAAGTCTAAATTTGATTATGAACTAGAATGTGTGAAGGACTCAGTCCACACATCCATCCAAAACGCTCTTTCGTTTCTGAAAGTGCTGACATCTTTTGATAGTGTTAACTTTTTAGTTTTAGCAAAAATGAAATACTGAACATACATGAAAACATAAAACATAAACTTATAAAAATATTATAACGCATAGACATATAATATAACATACAAATTACTATAAATTGTATGAAAGTGTTCCGCAGCCAACAGAAGTGTAATCGCTGATTTTTCGTTTGCTCTCCATCATCTGCTCGCAACGAGGAACGATTGTCGTAAAGTCGCATATTCTTGATTAATTTGCACCATAAGCTGGATAGAAGGGATGTTGCAAAGTGATCCGAAACGGCTATCGATACTAAAAACAATGACGACAAGGAAATAATATCATCAGCTCATCGTTAAAGTCCATTGTGGTTTGGAAAGAAGACCCAGGCAGGATTGTATAGGATTATCCATGAGAATACAGCAGCAGTAGATCGCCGTAGGATCTAAGAATTACCGTGCTAAGTCCCCATTTCAACAACGAGAGTGCTGAGAATCGTGTTCCATAACTGTCCTTGAAAATAAGAATAAAAGAATAAGATTGTTCCTTCGTTAATTTTTCAGAAAACATCAGATTATTCCAGTGTCTCTAGAATACTTTGACATGAATGAAAGTTAAATATTTATTCTAGGAACATTATCTGTTTCACAAAAATCGTTGTGGTTAGAGGTAACGTTAAATAGAAAGGTTGCATTGTATTTGTGAGAAAGAACTGGGAACGCACTAGTACGGATATCCAAAAATTTCAAGCAAAGCTTGACCAGAATTCAACACCACCCATGAAAAAGACTACAATTAGCAAGAATGCTAAAATCTTAAAGTAGTAACCAAATCTACCTGAATAACCTAGGAATTTCGAGGATACGGATGTGAGAAAATGAAGCGAACGAGAGAGGTGTCGGGATCCACACAACGTGTGAAATCGGACCATGTAAGGAGTAACAAATGGAAAGTAGATGCCAATAATATCTGCCGCTGTGTTTAAACCATAGCGGATTCGGTACCCAAAAGAACTGCTTGCCACTGGCTGAAAATGATTGAGATGATATTAAAGGACTTGTGATAATTGTGATAAAACAAAGATGGAAAACGTTAGCGCGCAAAACTCAAGGCATTCCGGATTAATTCAGAGAATTCGAAAACACAGGGCGGAATGTCTCGCAATTACGCGTAATATCTCCTAAAGTATTTGAGACTGTTATTTCAATGTGAGAGCGACTTAACGCTCCCATGTGAACTTTGTGAGGTTGATATATTTATTTATGTGATCTTATAAACTGATCTTCTTAAGCTGACGCGAGGTTGGTACAGATCTTCGTTGTCGTTGTCGTTGTTTTTGATGTTATTGATCGATGGCTGACGTTTCGGCGACGTTTGTGAGGTTGGTTTCCACCTGAAATACTCAGTGGAACACTCACACAAAGCGGTGAGTGTGTTAAGAAGATGTTTTGTTTTCAATGTGATCGAAATCTTGGTTTAGCACTTCCTCTGTTTGGTTATGGAGATGTTTGGCTACGTATACTGCAGACAGCTTAACCTTCCCAGGCTCTGAGAAAGGCGAAATCCGCCGAAACGTCAGCTTTTCCGTCCGTAAAGAAAGTAACACCTCATGTTTGCTCAACAAGATTATGAAGAATTAATGAGAAAAAATTAGAAAATCGGAAAAATTTTGACAATACTACCGCAATTTAATGGAATCATGGTGTTAGAACCGAAACAAAAGGAAAGCACTGGCAAAAAATTTGATGAGGTTCACTCCATGACAGGGTTTCATTGATTTTCATTGCTAAACATCAACTTTTTAGAGATTCTTATAAACATCTGCAGTGGGTTACTGCTTTCAGCAGCTGGTTTAGACGTGCCGTATGATTCATCATTAGAACTGATGAGCTCGATGAAGGAAGTATGACCAAAACCGATTTGGTGATTGTTGACACAGGAACAAGCAGATTCGAACAGCAGCATCGTAGGAACAGAAAGTATTAAAAAATAAGAAATGTTTTTTAAACTGTTTCTTGGGAATGCATGCTAGCTCCTCTTTCCTGCACCAATTGCTGTAGATAGAAAAGAACAGTAAGGAAATTT